GGGGGTGGGGGCCCGGCTTGGGAAGCGCGACAGCGCTCCCGCCCGAGGGTTCGGATCCCACATACAGACCGGTTCCCGCTCACTGGCTGAGCAGGGCGCGGGAGCAGCACCGAGGGTTGCAATCCCATTGCCGGTCCCCGGTCCGGTACGGGGACAACACTGAGGGTTGCGATCCATTGCTGGACACGGAAAAAGACAAAAAGACAAAAAAAAAAAAAAAGAAATCCAACCCACTCATCTTGTCCAATGCCTTGGAGACATGTCAATGAGGGTGACATACATGTTTCTTTACTGCAGCAATATCTTCAACTCTGACTCAGTTGTCGCTCTCTGTAATTCAAGAGTTAGAACCTGTATGAGTCCATTTCTGCTGCTTATAACAAAATACCTGGAACTGGGTGATTTATAAGAAAACAAAATTTATTGCTTACAGTTTAAGAGGCTGGGAAGTCCAAAGTCCAGGGAACACATCTGGTGAGGGTCTTCTTGTTGCTGGCTTTACAGCAACCCAGGGGTCTCACATGGTAGAAAATGGCAGAGCAGAGAGAGAGACTCTTATGTGCTCTCCTTTTAAAGCCCTTAGAACCACGCCCCTGACCACCATTGTCAATTCATTCACTACTGCACGGTCCTACAATCTAATCACCTCTTCAAGGCCCCACCTTTCAATTACCATAATAGGACTTCCCACTTCCTTAACACTGTCACAGTGAGGACCAAGCCTCCAACACATTAAACTTTTGGGGGGACACAATTCAATCTATAATAGAACCAAAAGACTTAGCCATCTGATTACACTGGTTGTGACTACACTGGGATAATCTCTGGAGGCTGGGGGTCCATGGAGCCCCCAATCATGTGGTTAACATATCCATACCCACATCCCAGCCTCAATCTCTAGAATGTTCCCATCTTTCCTACCTCTGAACATAAACTCCTCCCCGACTCCTTTCTTTTGAACACCGCAACGTTCGTCTTTACTTTTTGCGCATGAATAGGTCACATCAGAGTTTACACAGCAAGCCTGTGGACTTCTGTCAATGCAACTTATGTTTCTTGGCTTCAGGTAGAAGCTTTTGGCAGCAACATGTAAATCCACCACCATCAAACAGAGGGTTTGACTGTGGTTTGAAATCTTCATTTACTCTCAGATATCAATCACCCATATTCTCCATCCATTATGCTCTCAGTTATGTTTGTGATTCAGGTAGACAATCTTCTGGTTTACCTCCAGTGTCTTCAGGTTCAGTGCTTGGTTGGCCCTTTACTCTTTTCCATACTTGGCTCCACATGCTGAGCTCTGGAACCATTCTCTGGCCCTCAGACATAGTCATAGGACTCATCCACCAATACTTTATAGACCAGGGTTTAGAAGTTACTGAGAGCACAGTATCAGATGAGGACCACATTCATATTAAAGTTCTAGCCTACAATATGCTGGGGTAACATTGTTTTCTTGCTTTCAACTGTTGACATGATCATCTACCTTCAAATACCAAAACAATTATCTTGTTTCTCCAGTGGGAGTGTGGGATGCTTACTATCTAACATTTTCAGTGTCTATCCTATAAATGCACAGTACCAAGACACTGTACATTGATTGCTTTTAAATAACTAAGTAGAGAGGATCCTCTTTCGATGATTCTGTTATAATATCCCCAGCATAGACTATCCTTGACATAAGGAGAAAGATATAACTTGACCAGTCAGTTTCTAAATGATGTCAGCAGCTAATAAGTGGATACAAGATAATTAGCTGAAAAACTATTAGAAATAATAACAGAATGCAGTCAGTTTTCCAAAATGAATACAAAAAGTAATAACTTTCCTATATGCAAACCATAATCAGTTAGAAATTTTAATTAAAGGAAACGTCCCATTTATAATACCAACAACAGCAACAGATGGAAGGAAGAAACAAACTTAACAAAAACTATGCAGGGCTTAATTTTTAAAGAACTATAAAATTATCCTAAATGACTTTAAAAAGATTAGAATAAATGGAAAAACATATGTTATGTAAAGATAGCTGTTTAAAAAAAATCTAGGGCCGGCCCGGTGGTGCACTGCTACAGTGCGCCACTTGGGAGTGCGGCGGCGCTCCCGCCGACGGTTCGGATCCCACATACAGACCAGCTGCTCACTGGCTGAGCAAGGTGCGGGCGCAACACCAAGGGTTGTGATCCGTTGCCGGTCACGAAAAAAGACAAAAAGGAAAAAAAAAATCTATAAATTCGA